TTTTTTAACCATCGGGTGACAAATTTCCTGGACATGCAGAAATTCTGGCTACTTCAATATTCCTGGCAAACATGAGATTAGAACACCACTGCCCTGCCAGTGGTTGTAGCTGAGGCGCTTGAGATACTTACCCTGAATGGCTGGTCTGGGATGAATGGAAAGTAAGGGATGGCTGATTGTTCTTCACCCCTTTCTCCAGATATACAAGAATTTCTAAGTAGCTGTCGGTCTGTGAACACAGCTTTGAGTTCAATTGCCACGTCAGCAGGAGGATCTTCGGAGTCACCGCAGGTCAAGCTGATAGCAAAGCTGAAAACAAAGTGGTTTCATTTATTTGGGGCTGGATATTATAAAATGATCCAACTTCTCCTCCTCTGGGTTTGTCTGTTTTTAATGGGCAACTACTCTTTTCATAAGAGATTAGACTATGATGAAGAAAGACTACACTCAAACCAATTAATTTTGTTACCTAAAGTAGACTCTGGAGAAAACTTTGGTGGATGACTGAAATTACAAAAATCAGATACTAAATACCCCAAGCCACTCACACATCAGTGTATTAATCCATCAGAATTCTCAAAAACAGTCCCAGTAGTTGACTAGGGGAAATAATATCTTGTCAAGTTTGGTTCTTATTTATACTAATAGTTCTTGCTCTAAGCACCATGTTTCAAAACCATAAAAAAGGGGGAAAAAATCCTTTGGCCTTTCTAAGGGTCAAAGAGAAAATGTGGGTCTATATTTATCATCTCTGATATAAATAGCTGTCTGGAGAAATGATGGCTGGGATTCATACACATTCTTTTCATGGGAACATGGTACTTTCTTGGCACTCCCAACTAGCAACACTGTCCACAAGGAGAGGAAGAAGAGGAAACTAAACCACAACAGGAGTGGGCAGGGCCCTGCCACTGCCTGATAGTTCTGCTGGTGAAAAGGACTCTGTCTTGACTTACCTTTCTGGGTTGAGATCTACAATGCCCATCACTAACACCTTCTTTCCTGGTCTCATGCCACCTTTAATGTGCCCACAAAATGGAACTATCTGCAAAGGAGGAGAGGAGAAACAGGAACTTTACAGGCTGTTAGAGAAGAGCCAAGCCCTCAGATCCTGAGAACCTGACCTCATAGAAAATGCAAGGAAAATGCAATTAAGAAAGGAAGGGGGTACAGGCAGAGACACGGAAAACAGAACAAAACCATTTACCAGTCGTGGGAAGTACACGTCTGCTTGAACTGGAGAGCCCAAGGAGTTGTTTAAATGCCCATCATCTAGTTTCTAAAAATAGAAGCATACAGATTGGCTTTCCACGGACCCTTTTTTTTCTTAGAAGATGGGGGTGGGGGCACCTACAGAAATCTAGCAGAATCCAGCAGTCCTCCATAGACACACAAGCAGTGTCTGCAGATGATGCCTCTTTATAGCCCATTAATAACCGCATAAACCCTCAAAACAAAACCCATCCTTTCCGTCTGGTAGCTAAGACTCCAAACATCCCCAGACCCCTTCAAATCCAGATCAAATTCAAGGTCGGGGGCCCACCAGGGAGCCAGAACCTGGTGCAGGGGAAGGGCAGGCCCTCTCCAACCACAAACGTTTTTTGGAACCGCTGTCTGGCAGGCCTGTCCTCGGGGACGTGGCTGAAGTGGAGTGGCAGTGCTCAACTTGTCTCTGGAGCCCGGGGGCGAGGACCCATTTTCAAGGGGGAATCCCCGGGACGTCTGGAGCCGGTCGCGGGGCGCGCGCCCCGACACACTCACCCTCGCGCACACTCACACGTGCAAAAGTGCACACACCTGGTCGGCGGTTGTACAGACACGGAACCGGCCGTCGGGCACCTCAACCCTGAGATCTCCCCCAAACCCTCCCCCAGTCCAGCGCTCTCTGTCCGGGAAAGCTCCTTTTAGCCGGGGTGCACGGCCGGCTCCTGCTAACAGGTACCCGGCCGCCTTCCCACGCGGGGGACGCGGGGCTGGGCCTGCAGCTTCTATCCGCCCCAGCTCCGGCTGGAGCAGGCGGTAGCGGCATGCGGGGCGGCGGGAAGGGGGCGCCTCGCGTGCACCCCGCCACACTCACCACCACGGCATCACTGTCGGCCACCGATCCCGCCATGTTCTTGCACGGCGCGGTGGGGTACACCGCTGGCGGCCAGGC